TGCCGGCAGCAGGAAAAGGGACTGATCAGGGCAACGCGGGCGCGGGGCAGGCGTACACAGCGTGGGGGGTTCGAGGCGACGCCGGGTGTTACTGCGCTACGGAGGGGCTGTGGCCAAAGGGGACAGGGACGGAGCTGCCCCGGGGGGTCCCTGCTCCTTCCCCAGCCCCTTCCCCAGCACCATGCTTTACAAACCCTCCTGTTCCCAGCCCCGTCACGGCTCCTGGCCCGTGGGGACCTGTCCCCACCCTGCTCTGGCTGAGCTCTGCCAGCAGAAGGATTTGGGGAGATTTGGGGAGATTTTGGACCGAACACCACAGGACAGACAAACAGCCTCACGCCAGCTTTCTGTGGCACAGGCAGCTGAGAACAGGCTTTATTTTTCCCAGTGAACTCCTCAAGTCCCCGCTGCCGAGATGACCTGGGAAACTTGATTTTCTTTTAAAAAAACGTGTTTCCCTGCCATGACAGCTGCCACAGAAAGCCTGAGCCTATGCAGGTGGCATGAATTTTGTCACTCCACAAGATTAAACGGGCTCTGGGCACGCGAGAGGTGAAAGCGGGCTCCCGGGGAGTTCTCGGGTACATCCCAGGGGTTTGCCGGGACCTCCTCGCCGGCAGCGATTGCCACGCACACCAGCGTGGCAGGGCCCGTGTCATTCCTCGTCACTGGCCAGCTCTGCAATCTCTTATACGGGAGCTCAGCAGATTATTCCTCCATTTGAGGGTGTGGGAGGTTGATAAGGAGCGGGGCCGGGAAGCAGAGAGCCACTGAGCTTTTTGTCCTGGGGGCTGCTCCAGGGCAGGCAGTGGGTGACAGCGAGCTGCCAGGTCCCCACCAGCTACCGGGGTGATGTGAATATTCGCCTTTTTTTCTCGAAATAGCCCGTAGATAGATAGAAGAAAAAAATCCCCTCATCATTTGCTGCCTGCTTGCCTCGTGGTCAATACCTCAAGCAGCAGATCAGTGCCAACCCTGTGTAGGGAGAGGCTCCCTAAGGACACCTTCATGATTTTGGTGGTGCAGGGTCATATTGTCCCTAATTTCTGTGACTTGAAGGTCCCCGAGTCGCCGGGTAAGGACCAGCCGACCCTGCTCGTGGCTGATGCCGGGCTCAACCCCATGCCACGGCAGAAGCGTGGCCTTGGTGTGAGCCACAGCCGCTCCCTGCCCTCCTCTCCCCGCAGCCCGGTCCGGGGTCGCTGGCCAGGGGCTGCTTGGTGGCCACGAGCTGAGTTTTAGGGGTGAGACGAGGCAGGGGCACCTGCATTCCTCGCACACTGGTTTTCTAGTTCAGTGCCCTGTGCCACCGAGGGCAACAGTCGTGTTTTGCATTGAGCAGCGGCACAAACTCGCTGACCTCCCCGGGGCTCGCCGGGCACGTGAGCCATGATGAGAGCTGGTGGGGCTTCCAGCTGAAGGCTGTCCCTTCACGAGAGCCGCTCGTCCCCGCCGGTGGCCCCGGGGGGCAGCCCCAGCCAGCCTGGCTGCAGGAGAGGACGGGGAGAGCTTCGGGCTCTGCCACCGAAGGACGAAATGGGAACAGTGCAAGGGTGCAGCGAGGCCGCCCAGGGTGTCGGAGCACGGATTCCCCCCCCGGCAGCAGCCGGGATGCCGTCACATCCCAGGAACAGCCCGAAGGTCCCGTTCCAGCTCCTGAACTGAAAACAAAAGTGCGTCTTGTTCCCATCCTGTTTTCAAAGCCAGAAAGGTCGGGGCTGTGAGAGCTCTGCCAGGCTGGGGGGCACTGCCAGCTCCCGCAGCCCGCCCCGGGCATGCCGGAGGGAAGGGAAGATGCGGGGGAACGCCGCATCCGGGGGGACCACACCATGGAGCCCCTGCACCCAGCACAGCCCCGAAACCCCCAAAGCCCTGCTGCAAAACACCATCAGCTCTGGGAATCTGCCCTGCCACTGTGAAGGGATTTCCTAATCCACTTCCAAACCCACCAAGGCCCAAGAAGGCTTCGTTCCCATTAGACGGGACCACCGTTGGAGGGGCCGGTGCTGCGGGCATCGAGGGCTTTGTGGGCAACTTCTGCTGGGACGGGTGAAGGCGAAATGCAAAGGGTCCCTACGGCAGGAACAGCGGCATGGCCCTGCCATCACCATGTCAAGCTCTGAATCATCCCCCCTCATCCCTGTGCTCGGTGCCTGCACATGCTGCCGCTTGCTCAGCGGAGATGATTAGTGGAGAAAATCGTTAGGCACAGGACCGGGAGCTCAAGGGACACGCGAGTGCTGCTGTCACTTGGAAATCAATCCCAGCCGTCCGCCCAAGCTGAGTTTCCTCCAGCCCAGCTCGAAGCGACAGCAGCTTCTCTCCATCGGTGAGGAGGATGAGGTCGGACTGGGGCAGATGCTGGTCCTGCTCCAGCCTTGAGCCCTGGGCGGCTGCTCCCAGCCCGGGGCTCTGTGGGACTCGCTGCCCTCCAGATCTCAAAGCAAACGGCTATGTTTCACTCACGGAGCAGGACAAGCCTCCATGGCCAGGAGCTGGCCAAACCCTGGGAGGAAAATCCTTCCCTGGAGCCCTGGGGAGGAGGCAGGGCTGGGCTTCAGAGCCAGAAACTGGAGGAGGTTGGGAGGGTGTTGTGGAGGGGCAGCACGACCTGCTTACCCCCTCGCTATCCTTTCTCTCCAGGAGTGGCAAGGGGGTACAGAGACCTCCGGGCAGAGCAGGCAAAGCTGTTGCACACCATGATATTATTATTGTTATTATTATTATTATCAGGGACAGTGGCCCTGCCCGACCCTGCAGCACGCAGAGCGCTTTCGGGGACCTCGTGCCTGTTGCGCAGGGAGCAGCGTACCCGACAGCCACAACTCTCCCTCGGAGCACCCGGTGTCCCCAGGGCAGCTTTGGCATTCTTGCTGACTCAAGCCGACGGAGTATTGACATTCGCTTTGACCTTTCGAATCACAAGGATGTTCTGTCCTTCCCGGCCGAGTACAGCCCGGATGCCCTGTGGGTGGATTATATTGTATATACAGCGGCTGCAAATATGGAGCTGGCAAAAGAAAAGCGTGTTTGTGTGCTTGCAGGGGCGCGGCGGTGGTGGGATGAGAAAGGGGAGCTCTTGCCAGCGCCTGGTTTTCCTCCCGGGATGCCCAAGCGGATGCGGCACGTCAAGGGAGAAGGACAGGGACGGTGGCAGGAGGAATGGCTGGGGATGGTTTGGAGGGGGGGAGAAGGCTGCAAAAGCGGGAGCTGCGTCCCGGCCGTCGAGCGGCCGCCCCCTCTCCGCCAGCTCCGGAGGCAGCTCCTGGCTCCCCGAGTTTCCCGTCCCCCAGCTAATTTCTGCCTTTTGTTTTGAGAGAACATGAAGAACTGCAATTAGGAGGCAGCATGCAAAAGCAGCTGCATGGGGCCAGCCGGCTCCTAGGGATGGTTCTTTCCCTCCCAGCCCCCCAAAACCCCGCTCCACGCAGCGGCAGAGGCTGTTTGGGTACCAAGTGTACCCCAGCCCCAAAAGCTCGAGCTGACACGAAGGGCAGCGCGCTGCAGCTCCCGATGGTGTAAGATACGGTCACCAACAGAACTCATGGTGCTAAATCAGCATCCTCCCTGCTCCAGCGTGACCCACACCCTGGCAGATATAAACCCCGTGCCCTGGGATGGCGAGCCTGGCAGCGAGCGGGGCCGAGAGCGGGGTGCAGGCTGTACGGGGTTGTGGGGAACCGTCCCTGCCAACCCTTCCCTTACAGCCCTCGGGAGCCGGAGCAGGTCCCCGGGCAGGGCTGCAGAGGGTTTGGCAGAGGGCTCCCACGCGGCTCTCTCTCCCAAGCCCTGCCGAGGAGGCTTCATCGCGTCGCCGGCTCCATCCAAGGCTCTCGCAGCCCGGATCCGGCCACCCCGCAGCCCCGTGGCGCCAGGGAGGCGGACGGCTCCGTGCTCCCAGCCCAGATACACCACTTATCTCTCCCCTCTCTTGCCCTGACGCATTTTTTCCTCTCTCCTATCCCAGCCAACCCATAGGACTCTTATCTCCAGCCCTGAACCACCCTTTCCCAAGGCGTGCTGAGCAGCATCCTTCGCAAACCCAATTCCAGGGGCTTGTGCATGGCACTAGACAAGAAAACCCTTTTGCCTTAAGTCTTTATGCCACATTGACATCCCCAAGACCCTTCCAGCAGCCAGGGGAGAGTATGGCGAAGGCAGCCTGGCTGCAGTCACAGGGCACAGGCAGCAGAACATGGACCCCAATGCGCAGCATCACCTCCTCGCTACTGGGCTGTGGCCGTCCACCCTCTGGAGCAGGGGAGGGAAAACCAGGGTTTGGAAATTTCTGCAAGCCCAAGGAGCCCAGAGGGTTAATTTGAGGTGTGCTCCTCTGAGATAAGGTTTCCACTTGACAGTCAGCTGAGCCTCTTGGTTTGCGGAGAATAAAGAAAATGCAAGCAAGGTGCAGAGCCCGAGGCTGGGCTGGGAGCTGTGGGTGGGAAGGGATGGGATGGGATGGACAGTCTTTGCTGATGCTGCCCCAAAACTGCATGTTTGTGAGCATGAATGGAGCTGGGAGCTGTGGGATGGGATGGGATGGACAGTTTCTGCTGATACTGCCCCAAAACTGCATGTTTGTGAGCATGAATGGAACTAGGAGCTGTGGGATGGGATGGGATGGGATGGGATGGGAT